TAACAAAGCAGAGAACATTATACTTTTAAAATAAATACCATAAACTTTCAAACTTTTCTTTAATTCTGCATTAGGCCAGGAGGAAGAAAATAGAAACAAGTTAAAACAGAGAGAAGAATCAGAGGAAAAATTGAGGGGGACAGTGACCTCTAGGCACACCAAGACTCACTGAGGCCAGGGAGGAGCATGGGGCAAAAGAGCTGGGATAGCAGGACAGAGGAAGGATGGGACAGATACAAAGAGCAGGGACTAGCAGAGGGGGAGAGAAATTATGGGAGCCGCTGTGATATCACTTAGATTCCCTGGGGTAAGCCAGGAAGTTCTCTGCCGAAAATCAAGAATAATGGAGAAGTAACTGAAATCTGTACTACATCTCTTGGAAAAAATGCCATACAGTGGTTATTCACAGCACAGCAAAGCTTCTTAACTCTTCCCCTCTCCCCTGTGCACAGCACCAGATTCTTGGGGGTTTCTGTGCAGCAGCTCATCTCCCCACAAGTACCAATTCTTCACCTACTGGTGGCCCTCGGTCCTTTCTGTCGCCTCATTCAAGATGATGAGCGTATCCATTACACTCAAAGGTGTCCTCGGCCCCTTCACAGTTCCTACCTCCTGCTTCTCCTCTGCTTTGTCCCATTATAAATTAATTTGTATTTTCTAGAGTTTTATCTCAATAGAATCATATTCTGTGTACTTTTTTTGTACTGTGGTTCCTATCACCCAAAATTTATATCATGCCTCTTTATTTCAAATCATATTCCATTGTGTGTCTACACCACCAGACATTACTTTGAAGACTAGGAATGCAGGACCCAGGGGCGGGGCTGAAATCTAACCAGTATGAGACCTTCACAAAAGTCCAGAATGGGGAGAGAAGAGTGCCATATTTCCGTACAACACAAATGTAATTTGCACAATGAAAGAATTCGACTGTCATGACCACATAACCAACTAAATAAAGTAGTGCTTGTTCCAGTCTGTCTCCAGATCTGATCAGGTCCCGGCCACGCAGAGAACTGGAGCAGATTGGCAGACATTACTGCTGGGGGTGCTCAGAGAAATGATTTGACTGCGGGCTTTTTCTGCGCTAAACCCTTGAAGGGATTAGGAATTGATCTCATAGTATTTCTAAGTATAAATAGTACTTATAAGAATAAAATATCTTTTAGTTGTACCACGTTGGATGACATGAGACAGAGGACTTTAAAATGTTTATAAACAGTAGAGCGTAAATCAAAGACAAGGTTGTCTTTTCCATCAGAAACCACCTCAACATTTATTTTGTACTCAGATGAAAATGTGACGTTTAAGATTGCTGATCCAGGAAAAACAAAAACAAAACAAAAAAGGAACTCAGAGAACCATCAGTGAAACAATTCAAAGAAGTTATAATATTATAATAAGCGACTGTGTGTACCTCTGTAGGAGGAGACCAAGTTCGTTGGGTCCATGATAAATCCCACTGAACCAGCTCTGTGACTCCAACCCCAGCGTCACTCTCATGCCTAATTGACAATGGAAGCTTTCTTTCCAGCTCTAACTACTTAGCTATTTTGTATCAGGCTCCTACCCTGTCCACAATCATGGGTGTCTCCAGTTGAATTGGACCCCAGGGACAATGTCAAAAGAATTCTGAGACTTTACTAAAATCTTAGTAGCTCCTGTAACACCTCCCACCAGTATTACCCTTGCACCCTGCTACCCTGAGTGTGGGCTGCAGATTGGCAGTGTCCCTAATCACCTGGGAATTTGTTAAAAATGCAAATTTTTTACATCCCCCACCCAGCATTGGAATTTGCATGTTAACAAGATCCTAGTAATTTGTATGCTCATCGAAGAAGAGAAGCTGTGGTCTGGACGTGGTCTAGTGGTTGCTGGAGGCAGCTGCTGCTGCTGGACCTGATCTGGGGGCCACAACCTGGGAACCAGTGCTCTGGGCTCTACGGCTCCACGATTACTTAACAGATTAAGTGGATCCTGTCCCATTTACTGACGGAGAATCCCTATAACCTTCCAACGTGGCCTGAGGCAAGAATCCAGGAAAGCTAACATTCCTCAGGGCCTGTGACCCGGCCTCTCGCCTTGAGCTGTTTTAATACTGCCCCCTGTTTAAACAGAGCCATGGATGAGAGGTTCTAGGGCCTCTGTACCAAAGCCAGAGTAAATGTATGGCACAGGCTCTATCCGGGAATGTGTTTTGCCCACCTTTAAAACAAACAGAGGTTGAGGTGCTGCAGCAGAGAGTTATGGGAGTGTGAGGTCCCTCTTAGAGAACAGGCTGGTACAGGTTGGTCACGCTGCACCACCCCTTTCATGGAGTGTTCTTGACAAAGGCCCTTCAAGTCTGAGGCTTTTTTCCTTGAGTCCTTCTTGGGAATACTCAGAACCCTGGAGTCCACTTGTGCCCTGCGCGGCCCAACAACCATATAATCCAGCATAGACGCACACTGTGGCCAAGCACAGCTCCAGGACAGCTAACTTAAAATCCATTCACTTTTGGATTCCGCTGCCTTTGTGTTAGGAAGATTCACCTAAATGCATAGTAAGGAAATCTCAGACAGGCAAAATTACCTTCCAATAGAAACATTTAACCAAAGGAGGGTACAAAAGCCATTCTGAAGAGGAGAGATGAGTGTTGACTGGTAGGAATTTGGTCAGCTTTACCCCAATTGCCTATTGGATGGAGGAAGGCAAACTGGTCTCATAAGCTTGTGTCTCACAAATTATAAATTAACATCACAAGTAAGCTTCAAGTAGAAATAATAACTATCACTTTAAAATGCTTATTATATGCCAGGGTCTGTGCTGTTTATAGGTATTACTTTAATCCTAGCTATGAGGTTAACATCACTGTTATCCTCATTTTACAGATGTGGAAACTGAGAAACAGAATCCTTACATATTTTGCCAAGGTTGCAAAGCCAGTTTGGCACCCAAACCTGTGCTCTCAACCATAGGCCACATGTGACATGTTCCAGAGCAATAGCTTGATGTGATGGGAGTCAGCCATTATTGTGCACAACAGGGATTTTTTTTTTTTTAACCAACTTTTTTTAAGCACTTATTTGCTTGCTTGCTTGCTTGCTTATTTATTTATTGGCATGAGGGTAGGAAACACAAATCTGACTAGGAGCCCTATTTATAAAACAGATCAAAGTATAATTCTTCCAGTTGAAGGCAGCAGAGGCTCTGGACCCCTGCCCACTCTCACAACCCCTCCTCCACGACGCTCCGCTCCCACCCTGTATCACTCACAGGGAGTGGATCCACCTCTGTGGTCTCTGGCCTCAATATTGCCAATCCCAAGTCCCCTCCTTGCCCTCTTCCCACCTAGGGGAACTAAGAAGCTCCCCCCACCCCCGCCCCACTCCAGTCCTGAAAGACGGGTCAAAACATACCGTGTGCCCCAGAGGGAAATGGTTCTGATGGTGCATGGCCTTGCAGAGAGCAGAATACTTTATAAAGAATTTTACTAAGTACCTAAAATTATAGCTAGTAGTTGAAGGAAACGGCGGAACAGTTTAGAAAGTATTGTGATGGCGAATCCAGGAAGAATGTTGAGTCTGAACGTCTGCTGTCTACTCATGTACAAGTCCAGTATGGTTTGGAACTGTGCACAGGCATAATCATGTACATTAAGTATTAATGGGCTGGTGTTTGTTTAATCCAAGGGATTAATGGATTGGATATGTTTTGGGGAAGTGAGCACTGTGCTATCTCAAACACTAGTTCATGGAGTTCCCATACCACTTCTATGCCTGAAAACTTGAGTGCCCGAAGCTGAGGTAATTCTATACCAAGCCACTATCCACAGCACTCTCAGGTGGCTCTGTCCAAGGACCAAAGTGGCAAGTGACTTGCCATTTTCTCCATGCCATCCAGAAAGCTTATGGCTGCCATTCTGGGTCACTGAGCTTATGTGACCCAAGGAGAGAACAGCAGAGCCAGACTCTTCTACACAAGCACTGAATGTCTGGAGTGGCAGGAATTCAAGAGGCCATGTTGATCCCTTTTATGTGATCCATTCAATCACATAAATGACTATATTGAATGGACCACATTCGGTAGTGGTGGTGGGTGGGGTAGGGTGGTTCTCACCTTAAAAAGAAAACCCACTTTAACCTTAAATCACCTTTAACATTCTGGCAGATATTCTTCCAGTCTGCCTTCACAGTTTTTTTTACATAGCAATCTTGAGTGAGGTAAGTCAATTTACCTACACCTTGGTTTCTTCATTTGTAGAATAAACAATGGTTCTCCAATTTTATTGCACAACAGTCACCTGGAAGGCTTTAAAAAAAGTTTTCTTAAAGATTGTATTTTTTTATTTTTAGAGAGAGGTGAAGGGAGGGAGAACAAGAGGGAGAGAAACATGGATGTACAGAGAAACATCAGTTGGCCTCCTCTCGCACTACCCCCAACCAGGGACCAGGCCTGCAACCCTGGCATGTGCCCTGACCAGAAAGGAACAGGTGACCTTTCAGTTTGTGGGATGAACTGAACCACACCAGTCAGGAATGGAAGGCTTTTTAACACACAGATTGCTGAGCTCCACCTGCGGAATTTCTGATTCAGTGGGTCTAGAGTGGGGCCTTGGATTTTGCATTCCCAACAAGTTCCCAGGAGATGCTGATGCTGCTTGTCAGGAAACCACGTTGGAGAACCAGTGAAATGAGGAGACTGAGTTGTGGAATTTCCAAGGTCACTGCTGCTTTCAAAATTTAAGTGTTTGCATATTTTTCAAAAATTTAAAAAAACCCAATTCTTCAAATACAGGCGTTTTCTGAACTTTAAAAAAAAAAAAAAAAAACAACCCTGTGCTTTTTAATAATATAAAATAACATCATCCACCATTCACAAGTAATTGTTTCCACTTATAGCTCATATGCATTCCACACCTATTTCTCTTTGAAGCTACCTGGGTTTTTTAAAAGGATATTGTTAAAGAACAGTCAGACTTATATCTAATACTTTATTCTTTTTTCTTTGCCTTTACATAGTTCCATATGTATTGAAGAGCTGTGCAGAATTTATAGAGACTCATGGCATTGTGGATGGAATTTATCGGCTTTCGGGAGTCACCTCAAACATACAACGGCTAAGGTAAGCTAAAAGAATAGCCCCCAAAAGAATTCTCTCGTGATTCTTTCTCTGTCCATGTTTCTGTTCACAGGTGTTGGGGGTATTAAAAACCTGAGGGGAATGAGGGAAGGGTGGAGGGGCAGAAGATCAAGTGCTGATGTTTTCAGATGCCTGCTCTTAATCTAATCAGGAAATTCTCTGGTCTGATCTAATTCTTTCCAACAAAATCTCCTGAGGGCTTTTAATCTGTTTCTTCGTCTTATACTAGATTTACCCTCCTTGGGTGGATTTGATTGAACTCAAATGATTTCAATTACGAGTTAGGGAAATATGATTTATTATAATTCACTTGCTTACCCAAAGCTCAGTTAGATCCCATTACATAGTGTTCAAAACTTGGAGATGGATATGAGTTTTTCTGTTGGCACACACTCAACATTGTGATATTTCATCTGCTGGAGAATTCAGAAGTCTGCATGAATGGGCATTTCTCTAATTGAAGCTGGTATTTTAACAATTATTGATAGAGGAATGATTCTTAATTCTATTAATTTATCTTAAGCAATTCTAAAATTTATCCTCAAATTCTTTGGAATAAACTGCCATCATATTGAATTTACAGTACAATAATTTCACAGAAAACACAGGTATGTGTGCCCTCGCTGGTGTGGTCAGTTGGTTGGAGTGTCACCCCATAACCAAAAGGCTGTGGGTTCAACTTCAGGCCAGGAGACATACCTAAATTGTGAGTTTGATCCCTGGTCTGGGCATGTGATGGAGGCAACCGATCAATGCTCTTCCCTCGAATAGATATTTTTGTCTCTCACCTTTCCTCTCTCTTTCTCTATTAAAAAAAAAAAAGCAATGAAAAATGTCCTCAGGTGAGGATTTAGAAAAACCCTACAGATATGTGTATTTATATTTTATATGTATTACTTATAAAATAAAGGGAGTATACACATATTATATATAGAGTATACAGGTTGGGACAAAAGTAGGTTTACAGTTTGTATAGAAAATAAGACAACAATCAATAAATAATAATACAAGAATAATTTCTGTGTTTTGTATACTAACAACTATATATCTGCTTTTGCCCCACCATGTGTATATAATGTACAACGCACATATGCACTATATAATATATATACTGCTTTGTGACTAAAACAATAGGTTATGTACTTTAACATGAAAAAGAATGTGTTTTATTAGGTGTTGTTTTTCTATATTTATTATATGTTTTTAGTTATAAATGTAGTTTTAAAACAATAAAAACATTCTTGTTACAAAGTAAGTATGTAAAATTTACCATATTTTGCCATCTATAATTTGCATCCACATTTTACACACATTATACACGGGATTATTATACCCATTATTATATCCATGGTATGTAATTATTATACCCATGTATAATGCATATCCTTATTTTTCCCTCAAAAATTTGGGCAAAAAATGTGCATTATACACAGCAAAATATGCTCATAGATTGTGCGAGTAATTCATTTTTTTGTCTTCTTTTTTTCTATTTGGTTTTCTGCCCCTCCTTTTCAAATCTCAGTTGTAAATTGTACTAAATGAATAAAACAACTCTTTTATTCCTGGAGAAGTGATGGCTCTAAAAAAAAATAACCAGTTAATTGCAACCACGGATTTTAACAGATCTATGTGCTTACATAATTTCACTAATTAACTAGTGTGGCATTTTTTAGACTTTCAATAACAAATACTTTTTAATGGTTTACTCTTAGCTTTAAAATATACTACACAGTAGTTGACATTGTGGAAGGACACTTGGGCGATGGCCCTTTTTTTTTTTTTTTTTTTTTTCCATTTAAGGACTGACCTTAGTCTCTACAAGGGAAACTTTTGGCTAAATAAACAAATAAGCTTTTAATTGTTCTTGTTCTGCCCTCTTAGAAAAACACATAGCTATGAATTTATGAGGTCATTGGTTTTCTTTTCTAGGCCCCACTCAATTTTCGGGGGGCGGTTCTGACAGCATCAGGGGCTTCCCTACCCCTATTAAAAGGGCAGAACCAGAGTCCAGGAGAACGGGCAAGCTGTTTTGAAATGCTGGCTCCGGGAGTCCCATTGGCTTTGTCACTATTTGGTTAACCAAGTGATACTCTCATGAAGCCTAACTTCTCTTCTGTATTAAAACTTAAATTTGACTTTTTTAAAACATTTTTAATTGCAAGTATGTATTAGTTGAGTCAGGTATTCGTGTAACCTTGTTAGGAAATATTTTTTAATTAGAAACAAGGCCTGGAATCTGATGACATTTCCAAACACCCCACTATAAGTTGTTTAACAAGAGATTTGTAAGGTCTTCTATCCTGTGGTAGTCACTATCAGGCAGCCTAGAAGGTTCCATGCTTCATCGAAGAGATCGTTGATTAGGTTTGAGTCTTCAGATAAAACAAGTTTGTTGGCATGAATATATGGAGATGAGTGGTAACAGTCTGATTCATCCTGGCTTTGGTCTGTCCTCCAAGAAAGAGGATTTCATTAGAACAACATTTTGGAAAAAGTGGAATGTCAACAGGCTTTTCTTTGGCAAACTGATTTCATATTTCCCACTGTTCGTAACTGGGACTGTGAACATAATGCCGTGAGAAATCCATTTGTAAATGGACATTATGTCTTTCTAATTACAGCTGCTTTCACAGGGAGGATCCAGACCTGAAGTGGAAGTTTTCCCATAGCTTCCTTTTGCGTGAAATAGAAGGTCTTTTTGTATCAGGGTCAATATGTAGTCAGATCAGCAGTTTAGGGTCTTTTTACCCCTAAGCAGCCAAACAGCTTCTGACATGGAACACAGGTTCCTGGGATTGTTATGTCTCTGTCTGTGTTGTTTCAGGCAAGAGTTTGGCTCAGATCAATGTCCAGATCTGACAAGGGAAGTGTATCTCCAGGACATCCACTGCGTGGGCTCACTCTGCAAGCTCTACTTTAGGGAGCTGCCCAACCCCCTCCTGACTTACGAGCTCTATGAGAAATTCACGGTAAGTGTTTGGATTTCCATTATGGTTCCTGGGTAGAACTCATGGATGAGCCAAGGAGAGTTTCAGCATTAAAATAACAATAACAATACTTATCAGATGAATGGCATTATCGTAGTGTGGTGATGGACATGTCCATCATAGAATGGTATAGTGAAGAAAGTAGGGTAGTGAGACTGCTAAATTTTTCCTTTATTAAATTTTCAGAATCATGTTTGTTTGTTTTAAGGACTGGGTTAAATTATCTCCAGGTTTATTTGACCAAGTGTATCTTACTGCTTATGGAAGAAACTAAGAACCAGAGAAGTGCAATGACTGGCCCAAGGTCACACAGCAGGACAGGAACCTGAGACTACATGCCATACCCACTGCTACTTTATTTTGATCAAGCTATTCCCTCCAAGGTTTGGGGGAAGTGGTAGGCAAGTAGAGAAGTAAGAGAGAACAAACAGAAGTCAAGGGAGAGCTCAGAAAGCTGGAAAGAGAAAATAATCTGGAAAAAGTGCCCAGAAGGAGTGCAGGATAGGCTGACGAGTTGAGTTGGTGGAGGGTAGCTAGACAAGAGCAGAACACCTAAAACAGCTGAATGGTCACCAAATAAGGCACCCATAGTAAAAGTAGAACTATTTAAAGGATGCCTATAGAGATAGCATTAAAAACAGGGCTTGAACATTTAATGCAGGGCTGAAGGAGGAGAGTTGGGTTTAACCAAGTTTGAGTGTTAGCCAGCAAGAGAGGAGTGAGGAAGATGAGGGTGTGTACAAAGGAGTGACTGAAAAAATTGACCATGAAATTTTATCTATAGGAAAAGAAATGAGGGCAGAAAGCAGGTGTATAGCAGTGAAAAGATCAATGGATTAATCATCCAGTGAGGTCAATAGGCTGCTGGAGTGGGGTGGTCAGAGGGGATGTTTGAAATTAAGATTATGGAAGAGTTGCAATTATCGGTAAAGACCAGATGTAGGCTCTAACCATAGGAAGGAATCTCTCTTACGGCCCCTGTAATAAACTTATTTTGAGCATATGGAACGTTCTTCAATTTGAAATGATACGAAATAAGTAAAAGCTTTTTAAGAATTGCACTTGGGCCATTAAAATATATTTAAGAGTTTTTAATGATAGAGGAAAACACTCATAATGATAATTGGAAAAAATAGATATACAATTGTATATTAAGGCATGGTTAAAAAGAAAGATGTTCAAAAAGAGTAACAACCATTTATTTCAACGATGGATTATAGATTTCCTTACTTCTTTCAAAATAGTATCCACTAAAAATACATTATTTTTTAATGAAAAAATTGGGCCAAACCCTAAAAAAAAAACCAAACATATACCGGCAGTGGTTAGAGGACCCTAAGAAATCCAAGGGGGTGGGCAGGGGAAAGTGGTGGGGGGAAGGCGGAGACAAATGTATTTGAAAAAATTAATTAATTAATTAATTAAAAAAAAAAGAAATCCAAGGGGACCTTGAGATCTAAGACTGAGGCAAATGAGCCTCCACTCTGAGAAGCTAGGTCATTAATAATGGCAGGCTCTGTGCATCGGACCCCAGAGGAGTCTTTCCTGGGAACTAGGAGGAAAGGTTGTGTGTGGGCCTCATGTGCATCTGCCAGATTATCATCACTATCACCATATATGAGTATTTCCTCATTTTAAAAGACAATAAAAGGCAATTTGGAAAATAGAGGAAAGTAGGAAGACACCCTTGGTCTCTCCTCTTAAAGACCAAAGACAATTACAATTAACATCTGGATATTTCCTTCATTTTTTTTTTTTTTTTTTACTCTTTGCATGGTGTTTTTGTTCTTCCAAATTAAAATTGTATTTCAAAAATAAAGCAATGCAAAAAAGTATAAAGGAGAAAGTATAATCACCTGAAACCCCACAAGCAGGCATATTTGCTATTAACATTTTAGGAGACATCCTCACAGATCTTTCTCCCTCTTTCTCTGTGTCCCCCCCTGCCCCGCCCCCCTGCCAACACTGTATATTTTCAGTTTGTTTTTTTTGCCAATTTGAGTCAAAATATATCTTGTTTTAATTAGTACATAAGACTTTATTGTTTGCTTTCTACATAGTTTTAATCCTTTTATCAGTACAATAGTATCATCCTTGACTATGATAAAATAGAACATCATCATGTTAAAGAACTGAATGAACCTAACTTATTATAACTAAATTTCATTCTGTAACAGTTGGGGGTAGATAAGAAGGCTTGTCTAGAAACTTCAGAAACAGAATTCTTATCTCTGCTTCTGTTCTGTGGCACTGCTAATCATTCTATTCTCTTACAGCAACAGAAAAATAACAAAGCAATATTATTGTCAACCTGTCATCAGATTTTAAGGGAATCTAATGTTATATTTAAACAACTTATTGACACTAAAAAAAATAAGAGTGTTTTGTTGTGACAACTGACTTATACATAGGTAGAACCTAGTGAAGTTAATTATGTTGAAGAATTTATCATTTAAGAGTCCTTTGAGCTCAGTAATGAATTATACTATAAGCAAATGTTTGCAGGGACATGGAAATAGCTCTATTACATTGTCTCACATTCTTATAATGATTTACTTAAACCCACTCGCACAATTAAAGTAGAATAATATCTCAGTGGAATAATGGAATTAGAAAAAATTACTGGAAAAATAATCATGATTAATAGTTGCTATTTATTGAGTACTTACTATGTAATAAGCTTGTTACAAATATTATTTTGTTGGTTTTTATTTTCTCTTTTACAAAGAGTAAATTGAGGCCCAGAGAGGCTCTTGCTTGGTGTTGTACAAGTGTATAGCTGGTAAAAAGAAGTAAAGATTTAACATACTGTCTCAGAACTACCACATTATTTTAAAATAGAGTTAACAGCTCTTAAATATGCTCAGGTATTAAATGACTTTATATAAGATAAAGAAAGTATCCTAAATTAATGAAGAAACAATTAAATGCATTAGAAAAATTGAACAACTGTGGGGAGACTGGTTTTTTCATAGTTTTCTGTTAGAAGTGTAAATTGTCTGGGCATCCAGAAAGCCATTTGAAATTACTGCCAGAAAGTCCTAAAATGCTCATATTTTTTATACAGAAATTCTATTCTAGGATTCCATTCTAAGATAATAATCAGATGTGCAAAATAATTGATTTGTGAGCATTTTATTGCAATATTATTTATAATATCGAAATTTTGGGAGTATCTATGTGTCTAACAATATAGGATGGGTTAAATAAATGGTAATAAATCTGTTGTTTTCAATCCTGTGTATCTGTGAAAAGTCACATTTCTGAAGCATATTTAATGGCCACAATACAAAATAAAATAGAATAAAACAGTATATGTAACTAAAGAGGAAATGATACCAGAGTTCATATTTGGTGCTGGGAAGCCTGGGAAGATTGCTTCTTTTATGCTTTACATGTGAGTAAGTTAATAGTGGTTATGTCTGGGTAGTGGGATGGGTGATTTTTTGCCCTTCATATTATATATTAACTTTGAGTACATGCATTAGTTTCATGTGGCTACTGTAACAAATTACCACAAACTTGGTGGCTTAAACAAAAGAAATTGAGCCTGTCACATTTCGAGATTCCAGAAGTCTGAAATCAGTTTTACTGGGCTGAAATTAAGGTGTCAGCAGGGCCATGCTTCTTCCAAAGGCTCTAGGGTAAAACTGATTTCTTGGCTCTTCCAGCTTCTGGTGGCTGCTGGCATTCTCTGGCTTGTGGCCACATCACGCCAATCTCTGCCTCTGTAATCACACTGCCTTTTCCTCTCTGTCTCTGTCAAGTCTTCCTCTTTCTTCCTCTTTTAAAGATACCTGTGACTGCATTTAGGTAAAGTCAGCAATGCTAGTGTTCCCTGCAATGGAGGTATGGTCCTCAGTACCATCCTGGAAGTGTGTCACAAATATGTCTGCCTGGCATTTTCAAATGCAAAGCAAAATGTGGATTCATTCACTTACTCGTTTTATTCATCAAATGTTTGTTGGGTATCTACTACGTACACTATATACGGCAGGTATAGCTCTAGGTGTTGGGAATTTCATGGTGAGCAAGACAGATAAAATTCTTACTCTTGTGCAACTTACATTTTAATGAAAGAGACGAGACAATAAACAAATTTAAAGCATAGTTCTGTAAGTGTTAACCAGTTCAAGGTCCAGGTGCCCAGTGCTTCAAAAGGCCAATATTCAAAACATAAGGATTTGGAATAAGGAAAGGTTTATTGATTGAGAAGGTGACAAGCTGGAGACAGTTGGGGGTTGTGGGGATGGGGAGGAGGCTTAGAGTTTCCGTAAATCCACCTTAAGAGAACCCAAAGTTCAGGTTTCTTTTATGTCCAGGGAAGGGAGAATGGGCTGGACAAGAGGTATGTGATGACTAACCGTAGATATCTAGGCACCAGCAGAAGGGCGGGGTTGGGGGGGCATCTCTAAATCTCTTTGTGTCCACCCCCCTCCTTCATTTGAGTCTAGTCTTGAGGCTCCTGCAAATGTTGGTGAAAAGCTCAAGCCTCTAGCAGAATTCCTGTAATAATTAGCATATCTATAACCAGAGCTATTCCTTGAAGGTCATGGGAGAAATGCAGACTAGAATTAAAACAGAGTCAAAGAAAGTAAGCATTTCACTATGTTACAGTAGGAGAACTGTTGATAAGTATTGTGAGGAAAATTTGTGCAAGTACAGGGAGGGAAATGATGGGGACTGATATTTTTGTTAGGATAAATCAAACCTCTCTCTATAAGGGGATATGTGAACAGAGACATGGATGAAGCAAGGGAATAAATTGGGCAACTATTTGGGGGAAGAGTGTGTCATGAAGAACATGCAAGTGCAACGGCCCTGGCAGAGGACGTGCCTGAGCTTGCTTGAGGGATTATGTGGAGGCCGCCATGGCTGTTGTGGAGCAAGCGAGGGGGAAATGATGGGAGACAAGGTCTTTGCAGATGGGCCAGATCCTATAGTCATGCTTGCTTCCACAGTGTGACAAAGACAGATAGGCAAAATGACTGTGTGAAAGGACACACAGTGGTTGCCTTTGGAGACTGAAGTCCACTGTTGAAAGGAACACTTCTTCTGTGTATTCCTTCGGTTGCTTTGCATTTTCAAAATTATGTGTACGAGTTACTTTTAATCTGATTGCATAAATAATTTAAAATAAAAATTGTAATTTTTAAATGAGTAATACAAAATAAAAGTCAAAGGCTGAGTCACAGCTGGGGTATAGTTGGAAGGAAGAACCACAGGTTGTTTGTCCATGCTGCTGACAGGGCTGCCTAGGCTAAAAATAAGTTTGCAGTGGCCTGACTGTTCCAGGAGAGAAACAAAGATCTAGAGAGCTTCTGAATAGGATTGGAGTGTGATGGGGAGAGGCTGTGAATAATAAAATAAACGCTAATCCCACATGGGAGCTACAGGCATCAGAGGGTGAGCCCGCCCTGCCTCTCAGAGAACGAAGATGACTAACAGCTTCCTCAAATATTAAAGGAACTTTCCATGTGGTCTGTTAAATTCATCTACACCTTTATTCCCTAGATACATTTTTAGAAAGGGTGGGTGTGTGTGTGCAAGCTTTGCCAAGCTCATCCTAGCTTTGCAGGGAGAGGACGAGAGGCCTCCCGCCCCTCCCCCTTAGCAGGATAGACTGTGGGAGGGTCCACTCTGCATTCCGTGCCCCACCTTCCCCTGGAGTTTCTCTCCCTTTACTCCCTTGATGAGGCTTTCCCTTGGCAGCCAGGGTCCTTCCCAGAAGTGTTTTCTGAATGTCCACTCCCGGGAAAAGAGCAGAGGTGTCTGGGCGCTTACTCCGGCCGCGCCCCCCCCCCGCCCTTCTTGCCGTTCTTGTCCTCGCCCTCTTCACCCTGCATTATCTCAAAAAGCGAAGACTGAGGCAGCGGTTGCGCCTATGCCGGCTCTGTCCCCAGGCTTGCACACCCACCAGCAGGTGGGGGCGCCTGTGACTGCGACCCTCCCACTCTCACCTTTCTCCTCACTTCCGCTTAGGAAACAAAAAATCAAGTTTTCCATGTAGAGAATTTTGATTGCCTTTAAAAACGGTAAGCTTTTGTATATATATTTTACTTTAATTAAATAAAAAGACAAAAAAAACCAAAACCCTTAATAGATAAAGTCCGGGCATGGAGGGAAATGGAGTGTAGTCAGTCGTTCAACAAGTCTGGAGAGAATGCCTGTGTGTCAGGCATGGGGACCCATCACATCCTGGCGCTTACAGAGTTTACATCTATCGAGGGAGACCGACAAAACAGTAAACCTAACAATTAAGCACATTATATAGTATAGGTAATGGTGGGGAGCGCTATGGAAAGAATGGAGACAAGTGAGGGGGGTTGAGAAGGCTGACTGGGGCAGCGCATTGGAGTTGGTTAGAACACAACAGACCCACCAAGTGTGGCCTTGCTGGGGCTGGCAAACAGAAGGTGTCCTGTAAAGTTAACTTCCTTCCACTTTTCTGTGCATAAAAATTCTCATAACTGTGAGTTTGAACTTCATCCTTTATGCACACACAGCAAGCAGATGACAACTAAATGCTGAGCAGAGGTGAACAATATAAGAAAAACACACGACAGTTAGGGTCTTATTTTAGTGGTATTGCAAGGGGCAGTACTTATCAAATTAAAGACTATATTTTATGACATACATGATCTCTCTGGAAAAAGTCCAGCCATTGTTAATATAATGAAAATGGTTTGAGCAACATCCATGTAACTTGACAGCCAAAGAGAGTGGACTGGAATGCACATGCATGAACAAAGTCAACTTCACTGTACTAGTCAGTGAGGGCTGAAGACGCTTTGAGTGAGCAGGTATACCGTGTGGCCGTCGCATTAAAAGCGACCGAGAGAGTAGAGCAACAAATCTGCAACAAACTTTGCATTAAGCTCAAACATTCCTTTGTGGAAACTATTCAGATGATTCAGAAGGCCACAACTATGGGCAACTGGTGATTGGCAGCTTCATCACAATAATGCACCCGCTCATGCATCATGTCTCATGCAGAGATTTTTGACAAAACATCGAACCACCCAGGTGACTCAGGCCCACTAAAGCCCAGATTTGGCGCCCTGTGATTTCTTGCTTTTCCCAAAACTAAAATCACCTTTGAAAGGGAAGAGATTTCTGACCATCAATGAGATTCAGGAAAATATTGATGGGGTAGCTGATGGTGATTGGGAAAACTGTGTGAGGTCCCGAGGTGCCTACTTTGAAGGGAACTGAGGCATCTGTCCTATGTACAATGATTCCTATATCTTATATCTTCTTCAATAAATATCTTTCTATTTTCATAGTATGTGGCTGGATACCTTCTGGACAGACCTCTGATATGGGTAGACAAAAGTAGGTTTACAGTTGTGAATGCACAAAGAGTGTATTCTTGTATTATTATTTATCCTTGTATTATACATTTTTTCATATAAACAACTATAAACCTACTTTTGCCCACCTGGTATATAAATGTAAAGCTAGATTCCAGCATGGAGAGGAAATACAAGACTCACATATGTGTGAGTCACATGTGCCTATGGATTCAGGGTCATAAGACTGAAATGAGCTCAGAAGCTCCTTTAAAAGTCTCCCTTGGTCTTGGTGTGGTAATATGGATCTATGTATATGAAAGAACTCGTGGAGCTATAGGTTAAGATTTGTACATTTTTAATATATATAAATTATACCTTAGACAAAAAAGAAAGCTGTGACTGCTGTTGACCTTGAATTTAGGTACTGCTCCCATGCTGGCAGTTCTGGAGCTCTCAGCCATGTACTGGGAGGGACCCTTGAGGCAGGGCACAGGCAGGACAGGTTCTCAGGACAGGGATGCAGGGGAATCTGCCCAGGACACCTGCATTGTGCAGAAGCCCTGGACAAGCCTGTGATCACAGTGCCTTTACTGAAATCCCTGCCTTAAGTGCCTTGGTCTAGAGGGAGGAGAAACACAAACACAAGAAACAAGAGAGAGCGAGACCTGGCAAGGCCACTGGGTCTCAGGGACAAAGCCCTTATCTGGCTGAGAAGGCATGCCTTCCCTGCTTCCCAGCATCTACAACATGCAGCTGCTGAGTAGTAGCAAGGTCATGGAACAGTCTCAGGCCAGATGGGAAGTGGCTGTCTGTACTCAAGAAGACAGCTGGGTAAACATGGAGCTACCTTGTCATCTCCACCCGGCCCTGTCTTCCTTTGTCTCTGTCTTTATCTACCTGTCCCGGGGTCTCTATGACTCATTCTGCCACACATGACACACTCAAGATTCTACACCTTCTTTCCCAGATACCCAACACCCATCTGAGGGTGCACAGAAACTTGAACAACCCACAAGCCTTTGCGTGTGTGCAATGCAAGATGCTTCATGTCGTGAACCCTCAGAGATTTCAGTTGTTTGTTTTTACTAAAAAAGCGTGCCTCTTGGAGGGACAATCTCTAGGCCTGGCTGGAAAGCTGCAGTACCACGAGCCTAACTAAAACCAGCCAATGCAGGTGTGTGTCCACCCTCTCAGGCGCTCACTGGGTGCTTCATGTTCTTATCTGCAGGAGGCAGTGTCACGTTGCCCAGAAGAAGGCCAGTTGGCCCGAATCCAAAATGTTATACAGGAGCTTCCCCCATCCCATTATAGGTAAGAATCTTTCGTGAAAGAAAGTCACAGCCTCTTGTGGGGGTATAATACCGCAGATGCAGGCTGGCATCATAAAAGTGAACAAATTCAGTGGACAGGGGCTTTCCTGGGGCATTTTGAGGTGGGTGAACAGGTCAGTTTTATCAGTGAGTTGATGTCTGACCATGGACATTGATGGGAAGGGGCAGCCCATGTCCTAGAAACTTGCAGGATACCCCTCAGAGTCCCACTCTAATTCTGATCACACAAGGACGTCCTCACAGTGATATCCTAGGTTCTTACCCGATTCATAGAGTAACCAAATCTATGGAAACCTAGGAACCTATCCTAGGTTCTTACCCAGATTCATAGAGTAACCAAATCTATGGAAACCAAGATGGTTTTAAAACATGGTTTCACTGTAGCTCTTGAGTATTGGGCATCAATATATCCCTTACATCATCCCATCTTTTCATTTCATTCTTACACTTTAGCCCCTGATCTTACCACCTTTCCTGGTCTTCTCTGAACCTGCCAATCTGTTACAGGTGGGACAGATTTTGGTGTGGTAGAACTTCCTAGCCATAATAGATATTTTTCATCCTTCTCAACCTACCCTAGGCCAACGTGCTGAGGGCCAAGAAAATTAGAAAATTACTTCCATCAATCTTAGTATCTTCCTGATATTCCTCCAAAACTCACACGATAGAAATATTTATTTAGTCTCTCAAATCCAAACTTAGAAATTATCTCCAGTTTTGAAATTATTAAAGTTTTGTACTTTGTAAAAAAAAAATAAGTAAATAACCATTGCAGGACCTTGGAATACCTGATTCGACACCTGGCCCACATCGCCTCCTTCAGCAGCAAGACCAACATGCATGCCAGGAACCTGGCCCTCGTGTGGGCACCAAATCTCCTCAGGTAACTTCCAAACCCTCACCTCTCACCCCACCATCCCTGTAGTGGGCTTAAAACAGCCCACTGATTAAAATGAAGACTGGGTTCTTCAAAATTGAAGCCCCTTGAAGGCAAACCTGTAGCTAAGTGATCTTTTATAACACATATGAATTAAAGGTGATTTTAGTAACCTAAGTTCTTTGTCTGCTAACCTGGAAACTGGGTTCTAAAGGCATTTCCTGGCTACCACAGGGATGTGACTGAAGTTATAGGTCTGTATGTTAAAATTTCTTGAAAACGCCTTTCTTGTCTATGTGTCTCATTGGCTTTTGTTGGTTTTGGTGGGGTCACAGCTGACTATAACCTGAATCAACTGCTTCATATGACTTTATAAATTATGAGCTCCCCCTCAGAACAATCAGGTGGGGGTAGAAGGAGATCCTTTGGAAATAAGTCAATTCTTATATATTCACTAATAGAGTGTTATAGTCTTGCAATATATAATTCCTGGTAATTGTTTGAAATTTGTTCAGCGTGTTGGGCTTCACAGCCTTTGGAGAGTCCCTTTAATAGGTCTTAATAGTTAAAATATTCACCCTGACCCGGTGGCTCAGTACTTTGGAGCATCATCCTGTACATTAAAAAGGTTGCAGGGTCAATACCTGGTCAGGGCACATACCTAGGTTGCAGGTTCAATCCCTAATCAGAGTGTGTACAAGAAGCAACCGATCAATGTTTTTCTCTCACATCAGTGTTTCTCTCTCTCTCTCTCTCTCTCCCCCTCCCTCCCCTTCTTCTCTCTTTAAAATCAATAAACATATCCTTGGGTGAGGATTAAAAATATAGGTATTCTACAGATTAACAAACCATCTACACTGAAGAGATGGGGCTTGTACAAAAGGCCCCCTGGCTCCCCCTTACTGCTCTAGGGTTGACTCACTGAACTAAATGTATTTCTTTCACGATTTAGGTCCAAAGAAATTGAAGCTACTGGTTGCAATGGAGATGCAGCCTTCCTTGCTGTCCGGGTCCAGCAGGTGGTGATTGAGTTCATATTGAATCATGTGGATCAAATCTTTAACAATGGCGCACCTGGGTCTCTAGAGAACGATGGTAATGGTTGCTCCTGGCATACTGCCCACCAGCCCACCCTTCTTTCTTGCCTTAATCATGGGACCCAAGAGTAAGTTAGGGTGGCCCTGGTTCCAGCTTTGAGTATTGGAGCTATGTATGTGCTGATTACTGTGTGTGTGTGTGAGCGCCTGGGGGTTGTGTGTATATGTGTGTGCGTGTGTGTGAGTATGTGTGTGTGCAGCAAAGATGTGGTATGTTTCTGAGTAGCTGTAGCATGTTTTTGATTGATTGCATACTTGGACTATCCTGTGAATGTAGCATGGTAAACTGTAATAATGTTCCATTGATTTTAGTAAGTTCTTAAACTGTTTGAGTTATTATCTAGAGTCACTGGCAACATTCTTCTCTTTAACTATTAGATTTCATCTTTACTTTCAGTATGATATATTTCAGAAGACCCTTATGCTTTCATCTTGAAGTCTTAAGTGAATGAGTTAAGAGGCAGCATGCCCAAACTCACATGTATATTCAGAATGCATTTTCTTTCCAAGCATTTCTTGAGTGCTTACTTTGTCCTTCCCTAAACCAGGCACCACGCACAGAAAAATGAGTGTATCCATAGACATGTGTATGCAAAGACTAGTTAGCATACCATCCAATTGGTAGCATAGCATACCAATACTAGCCATATTGGTAAGAAAGATATAGCTATTTCAGGCTGAGCATTATGGGGTGCAAAATATTGTATTTTAGTCCTATAGCTCTTTTAATGGACAGTGAACCCTAGGAATGAATTGGGTAATGTTGCTTGAACTCATGTAAACCCAGTTTGTAAAAACCAGAAATCCAGTTGATCAAGAAGCCTGGGAGACGGTGGTGGTGGAATAGGTGGAAATTACTCTCACCTTCTCTCAGGCCCGAACTGGAATTACAACTAAATTATGGAACAATCAACATAAACAACCAACTAAAGATTAGCTGAGCAGAAGTCTTATAACTAAGGACTTACAGAAGAAGCCACATGCAGGCTGGTAAGAAGGGTGGAGACATGAAAAGGGCTGGCCCTGCTCCCATGTGCACCAGCTGAGAATCCAGAGGAATATCTCAGCCACAAAGGTTCACTGTGAGGAATGTGGGGCCTCAGCTCCATGCCCAGCTCCCTAGCCTGGAGCACCAGAGCCTGGAAGAGGTGCCCATTTAACATCTGGCTGTAAAAATTAGCGGGCATTTGGCCCACTAGGGAAAGACATGCATCTGCTAGAGATCCAGGTGCCCTCTTAAGGGGCCAGCTCACAAAATCTTGTTCACTGCCACTCACCCTGGGCTCCAGCAGAGGGGGAGCAGCTCAGAGCAGACTATAGTCTTGTGAGGACAGACTGGGTTGTGTGGTTCTGGGAAGAGAGCTGAAGGGACAGCCACCAGGGTCCCTGTGCTGAGTCCCTCTCCCACACTGCCCACAGACACTATCTTTCCTGGGTTGAGCACTCCCCTCCAAACTGTACTGGAATGGGGGGACTGTACAAGCCCCACCCTCCCATTCCCATCACCCTGCCCAGCCAAGTTCACTGTAGAGAGCATCCTGTGGTAGAGACTTTCTTGAAGCCTCTTTAGAATGAACTCAGAAAAAAATCACAAATGGAGTTGTGTAGCTCTGGGTCAGAGACCACTTACCCTGCCCTTCCCCCCCAACCCCCCCACACACAGTGCTCCAGAGCACCAGTGCACTTGCAGTGCCCTGCTCCCTGAAGACCAGAGTGCCTGCGCCCCACCCCCCACTGCGTCCCAGAGTAGCTGCAACATGTTCACAGCCTGAGAAGCTGTACCCTGTACTCCATGGGCCAGAGTAGTGGCATCCCAACCTGCCATGGGAAAAGCGCTAGGTCCATCCTCTTTGCTCCCAATGGCTAGCACTGCTTAGCTTTGCTCTGAAATATTGTAAGCAGGCTGTGGCCATACTGGTCCTCCAGTACAGAATACTCTCCAGGAGGTCTGGGTAGACTCTGGGAAGAACTGAGTCGTTTGACTCTTGGGCCGGGCCATTTTTACCTCACATGCCAGGACAGTGCCACCATTCCTGTGCAGAACTCTCTTTTCACAGGCTAAATCTTGGTATGTTTGGGTCTCTGCTGGCCTCACCCTGATAAATCCCAGAGACCCTGCCCTACCACAAACAGCCACAGGCATTCAGCGGGTGGTGGCTTACATTGATGTACCCTGACACTATTGCTGAGTAGCCTCAACACAGCACTAGTGCCAAGTTTGAGTGTATAAGTCTGCGAACACCACTCACCAAGAGCCTCTATCACACAACTCACATACTGCTAGAGGCTTTTTCACATACTGACTTATCCTACAAGGTGAGGGCAGGTCTCAAGGAGATTTGGGCCTTTTGCTGACCTGTCCCTGGACTCAGTGCTGATGGAAATCAACCGTGGTGCACAGCTAGGAAACTGCCACACAAATCCAGGCCCAGCAGAGACAGCCATAAATGGTTGATCACTTTGTAGCTCCAAACAGGTAGCCCAGGAACCCACAGTGGCTGCGCCTGACTTCAACCTGCACTGAATTCACTCCCAAGGGGCCCTAGAGCCAACGCACCTGTTGAGACCGCATCAGAGCACGATGAAATTAGCTCTACAAGTAGCACACACAAAGGGAGATATCAGCAGACACCAGACTCTCTTGGGGAAATTCAGCTTTGTGAAGCCAGCCCCAACTCAGCAGCTCATACATTGTGTTAGGGAGAGATACTTATAGCCAGCGGGTGGGGCAGCCCCACCCATGGATAGGCCAAGAGCAATCAAAACTCAGCTACAACAGGAGGGCTTACATAACCCACACAAAGGACATTCCAGGAGGACCTAGCTCAGAGGATCAGGGAGAGAGCCCCTCTGATCCCACAAACACCTACTACAAAAGGTCACCATACCAAGGCATAGCAGATCTCCCTAGTACACAGAAACAAATACAGAGAGGCAGCCAAAATGGGGAGACAAAGAAACATGCCTCAAATGAAAGTACAGGAGAAATCCCAAGAAAAAAAACTAAATGAGATGGAGGCAAGTAAGCTACCAGAAACAGAGTTTAAAACAGTGGTTATAAGGATGCTCAAGGAACTTAGTGAGAACTTTATCAAGAGATACTAGTAAGCATAAAAAAGGACATAGAAGCCGTAAAAAAAGAACCTGTCAGAAAGGAAGAATACAATATGTGAAATGAAGAATATACTAGAAGGAATCAACCAGCAGGTTAGATGAAGCAGAGAACCAAATCAGTGATTTGTAAGACAAGGTAGCAAAAAACATGCAATCAGAGCAGGGAGAAAAAAGAATTTTTAAAAAATGAGAATAATCTAAGGGACCTCTAGGAGGCATAACAACATCTTCATCATAGGGGTACCAGAAGGAGGGGAGAGAGTGCAAGGAATTGAGAACCTGTTTGAAGGAATAATGTCTGAAAACTGTCCTACCCTGGTGAAAGAAAAAGTCACACAGATCCAAGAAGCACAGAGTCCCAAACAAGATGAACAAAGAGGCCCACCTCAAGACACATCATAATTGGAATGGCAAAAGTTTAAGACAAAGAGAAAAACAGTTAACTACAAGGGAGCGCCCATGAGACTGTCAGCTGATTTCTCAACATAAACATTTCAGGCCAGAGGGACTGGCATGAAATACTCAAAGTAATTCAAAGCAAGGACCTATAACCAAGACTGCTCTCCCCAGCAAGGCTATAATTTAAAATTGAAGGTGAAATAAAGAGCTTCCCAGACAAGAAAAAGCTGAAGAAGCTCATTACCACCAAACTAGTATAAGAAATGTTAAAGGGTCTTCTTTAAAGAGAATAAATTTTTTAAAAAGAGGAGAAACATAGTTATAAAGAATAAAATGGCAGTAAATATGTACCTATCAATAATCACTTTAAATGTAAATGGCTTAAATGTTCCAATCAAAAAACATAAGGTAGCTGAATGGATAAAGAAACAAGACCTATATATATGCTATTTACAAGAGATCCACTCCAGAATAAAAGGTACACAGACTAAAAGTAAAAGGATAGAAAAAGGTACTTCATGCAAATGGAAATGAAAAAAAAAAGCTAGGGTAGCAATACTTATATCAGACTTTAAAAGCAAAGGCTATTATAAGACATAAAGAAAGGTATTACATAATGATAAAAGGATCAATCCAACAATAGAATATAACCCTTTTAAACATGCACCCAACATAGAAGCACCTAAATATGTGAAGCAAATCTTGATGGACTTAAAGGGAGAGGTTGACGGTAATACAGTCATAGTTGGGGATTTTAACACCCCATTGACTTAAATGGATAGATTTTCCAGATAGAAAATCAATAAGAAAATAGCAGCTTTAAATGACACTCTAGACTAGATGGATTTAATTGATATTTTAAGATCATTTCACCCCAAAACAGTAAAATATAAATTTTTTTCAAGGGCACATGGGACATTTTCTAGGCTAGACCACATGTTAGGACACAAAACAAGCCTCGATAAATTTAAGGAGATTGAAATCATATCAAACATCTTCTTTGACCACAATGGTATGAAACTAGAAATCAATTACAAGAATAAAACTGAAACTCACAAATAAATGGAGGCTAAATAACATGTTACTAAACAACGAATGGGCTAACATCATTGTTTAGTTACCTTGATGTTACCCCATTCATTGGTTTCATTGGATGTCCACTTTCACCACTTTTATTCAACATAGCACTGGAAGCCCTAGCCACAGCAATTAGACAAGAAGAAGAAATAAAAGGCATTCAAATTGGGAAGGAAGAAATAAAAATTTTTGTACAGCAAAGTAAACCATAAATAAAATGAAAAGACAACCTACTAAATGGGAGAACGTGTTCACCAATGGGGGTTCATAAGGGGTCAATTCAAAATTCATAAAGAACTAATGCTACTCAACACCAAAAAACAATCCAATTAAAAAATGGGTGGAGGACCTGAAATCAAAATTTTGTTACCTTGAGACAAACAAAAATGAACAAATAGCAACTTAAAA